ACACACACACACACACACACACACACACACACACACACACGACTCCTAATCTTTATTTGACATCTAGAATTCTGTGCTGGGTGCTGTGCTTGCCGTCAGCTGTGGGTCCCCATGCGTTTTATTTAATAATTTTGGTTAACTTTAAAAACACTCTGCCCTGAGCAGGCCATTCAGGAAACGGGGCTTCTCTTCTGAGGTGGCAAGCGCTTCTCCCCCACCTCCTTCATGGGCTGTCAACACAGTGCCAGACGTTGAAAACCAGTCCCTCCAGAAATTCAGATGTTTCCACACTGTAGGCTGTTTGGCTCTGAGATCTGAAATGTTCAGCATTTTCTCCAGATAATAGCATGTTAGCAGGTCCCACAATAGCCTGGGAGTTTGCGTTTACCTTCCCCCTCCTGTGGACAGGAGTCCACAGAGTAGAGTGGGTCAAAAGTCTGTAGACACCACCAAACTCAAATGCTCCCCAAGCCTGCAGGGCCTGAGGTGGCGGTGGGAGTGGGGCAGTGTCTCCTGAAGACGTTCTGTCCAGTGGACACTGCCGCAGCATGTCTAGATGAGATGCCCCGGCCGGTGTGAGGGTCCAGGGTGGCGCAAGACCAGGGTTTGGAGAGAAAGCAGGCTAGCTTTCCTCCTGCATGTCTCCCAGGGAAGCTCGTTTGATGGGAAGCCTGGCAAATTCAGCTGTCCCCCCAACATTCTCATTGTGGAGTCAAGGCGGCTAATGGGGGTGGGGCGGTGGGAGAGGGTTACAGGGCTCTTTGAACTCTCTTTGCCATGACAAATCTCTGGTGGACCAGAGAAACTTTTCCTCTGTTCTCTTAGTCTTTCCCATGGAGGGAGGATCGTGTGGCCCACATCCTTCTGTAAACTCATATCCCAGGTCTCTGGCCTGTAAGTGAAAAAGTAGAATACTGTGTCACATTTAGGGTTTAAAGGATAGGAAGCTTAAAGGGAGCACATGATGGAATTTCAGGCATTATCCCGCAGGTGGCAAAAATTCTGGGGGAGTCCAGGCTGTCTCAGTGCTAGCTGATAAATCATCCTCGCACTTGGGATGAATTCTCCTGGGTCCCAATATCCCTTCATTATATGTAAAGTGCTTCTCAGAGCTGGCACACGTGATTTTGTCTTGGCTCTGCCCAGTAGTACCACTGAGCTCTGGAAATATGGCTGGTCCAACCTGAGATGTGCTGTCAAAATAAGACACACACCAGGTCTCAAAGACTTGGGCATGACAAAAAGAATATAAAGTATCCCATTAACTTCTAAAATATTAATTATATGTTGACATAATACTATTTTGAATATTGGGCTAAATATATATTATTACAATTCATATCATTTGTTTCTTTTTATTTTCTTTTAATGTGGCTATTAAAACATTTAAAATGATATACTCAACTGGCGTATAGGGCTCGCATTTTATTTCTATCCGACAGTACTGGTCTAGGTAATCCTTTCCCTTCTGAAACTATTTTGAGGACTTGCTTGTTAGTTTATTTTGTTAGCAAAGTGAATGAAGGCGGCTCAGAGCCTCAGCAAAATCCTTTCTGCTGGATAGGAACCGAAGGGCAGGCGCGGGTGGGAGCCCTAGTGGACTTGTCTATAAATACTGGCTTCTGGTGACATCATGTGGCCACGTGTGGGTA